TGTAGGCCTTTCTTGAATTTGGAACCAAGGCTAGCTTCATGCCCCTAACTAATTCGTCGCTCGAATTTGCCAAAGATGGGACGGCATGTTGTGAGGGAGAAGATCCGCGGTGGGGGCGAGCATTCTGAAGCAATCGATCTGCATACGGGACAGAGCGTCAGCTATAGCGTTGTCTGTCCCGGCAATATGGAACGCTCGAAACAGAATGTTAAATTTAAGGCAGTGAAGAGTAAACATCCTTAGAGCCCCCATCACCCGCCGTGATCTGGATGTTAGGGAGTTAACCACTTGGACCGTGGCTGCGTTGTCACACCAGAAATGTACTGTTGAATTTGTAAACTCATCGACCCATAAGGTGACAGCCACTATGATGGGGAAGAACTCAAGGAAGGTCAGGTCAGTTGTTATTCCATTGGTGTGCCATTGTTCTGGCCATAGTTCGGCACACCAATGTCCTGCAAAGTAAACTCCAAATCCTTTAGCCCCTGAAGCATCCGAGGCTATCTGTAGGGCGTCCTTTATTAAGAGCTCCTGTCGCCAAAAAGAAACTCCATTAAAGTTGGACAAAAATTGCAACCATATTAACAGATCGCTTTTAATCGACCTTGTTATCCTAATATGATGGTGTGGTGTAGTAACCCCTGATATTGCATCGCATAACCTGCGCAAGAATGCTCGCCCAGGCGCAACGACCCTACAGGCAAAATTTAGGTGACCTATGAGCTCTTGGAATTCATGTAACGTGGCCTTCCTTCGTCCCAAAAAAAGATTTAATCGGCTTATCAAATTGGTGATTTTGACCGCTGGCAGCCTAGAATATTGGTGTGTTGTATCGATTTCTATCCCTAGAAATGTCAATTTGGTAGTGGGGCCCTCGGTTTTTTCATCCGCTAATGGCACTCCCAGTCGTTGCATCTGAAGTTGAAAAGACTTCAAAAGAAAGCTGCATTCGCCTGACTGGTGCCTTCCAATAAACAGGAAATCATCGAGATAGTGGACTATCCCTGGCAGCCCCGTGTTAACCTTGACCACCCATTCAAGAAATGTACTGAAGGTCTCGAAGGCCGAACAAGATACTGAACAGCCCATTGGCAATGCGCGATCCATGTAATATAAACCTTCAAATTGGAATCCTAACAATTCAAAGTCCAGTGGGTGTACTGGGAGAAGGCGGAACGCTGACTTAATGTCACTTTGCTAATTCCGCCACCCGTCCCCCAGACCTAACTTTTTTTATTGCTGCGTCAAAGGATGTATAACGCACAGTGCAAAAGACTTCAGGGATTGCATCATTCACCGATCCACCTTTTGGGTATGACAGATGATGAATGAGGCGAAACTCTCCTGGATTCTTTTTGGGAACGATCCCTAACAGGGATATCCTAAGAAATGGGGTAGGAGGTGTGTTGAAGGGGCCTAAAACTCTGCCTTCTGTAACCTCTTTTGCAATCTTGTCACGCACCACGTTTTCTAAGCCAATTATAGATTGTAAGTTGGAAGCTTGAGATGAATGTCTAGGGCCGACAGCTGGAATCCGGAACCCCTGCCTAAAACCGCTACGTAAGTAGCCGGCCGCAGTGACATCGGGGTAATGCTCCAACCAAAATTCTAGCTGGTATAGGTTAATTGGGCTGGGGCCCTTTGGAAAGAGATGTACCGGGTGGATTTTTCTTAGGGAATTGGCCAGGTTTAAAGGCCTTTCCCTTGGTACAATTTTTTGTGGCATGTGTTCCATTACAGATGGCGCAAAAGTGGTGAAATCTGCAGCCTCTTTTGGAGCATGAGCCCTGTGCTGCAAATTCCCAGCAAATGGCTCGCTGTTGTTGTTGTTGTTGTTGTTGTGGTTGTGGCTGTGAAATTGTAGTCTGGCGAAAGGCCTGGCCTGACTTGAAATTTTGTATAGTATGGCCGCTATCGGCCTTTTCGCCATATACAGCTCTGGCCGGAGTCATGACCTCCATCCAGAGCTGTTCATCTATTCGGTCCCACCTCAGAGCCGGGAATCGCGCTGCATCAAAGCGAAAGCGCTTGTCATAAAGGAGCCAAGCATTGCCTGTAAAATTGACATATGCTGAATAGATGGTATTCAAATATTGAAACAGTGAGTGAGCCCTTGCTGGATAGGCTTCGGCTAACACTCTTGCATAAATTAGGTAGCAGGTAAACCAGTTCGCCCAATTCTGGTCAACCTTTCTTTTTTTAATTTTTTCTTTCTGTTCGTCATCAAGCTCCTCCCTCTCCTTTTTGTCTAGTTCCCTGAAATATAAAGTAAAGATATCTACATATTCATTTTTTAATATTTTGTCTATTGTTTTTTGCGCCAAATGGGAACCTAAAGAGGTGGTATTCATACGGGTTGGGGCAGGCAGTGGCCAACTGGCAGTGCCCCAGAACTGGTGAGGAAGCTCACTGGTGGCAAAACCTGCTTTTGGGGTGTTGACCGCTGAAGATGTCTGTATATTTGTCATAGGTGAGCCTGTTGGTGGTGGAGCCATGTTGGTTGAAACTGACTCAGGCTGGGTGGGAGTGTTGTTGGTGATATCTGTAATTTGTGGTAAGGTGTCTGCAATATGCCCAAGCTGGTCGTTCTGTGTAGACGGGTGCCCCCATGGCCATGCCACATTTCCAGTATTACCTGTGGTCGCCGACTGGGTGGTATTACACTGAGGTTGGGGTTGGGCTTCCGGAGCCTCAGGAGCTGTCGGCGGCGGTTCAGACTGCTGTGGCGGATGGCTGATGGCCTGGGTGACTACATCACAGCTTCCCTCGCCCCGTACTGCCTCTAGTGCAGAAACACGAGAGGAAAGAGATTTTAATAACAAGGCCTTACTGGCCAAACGCACTGGCCTTTGTCCCGTGTTTGGGACCTGATTTCCCTTTTTCCCCTCCAGGGCAGAAACACGGGACAAGAGGGCATTTATGGCTTCGGTAGTGGCATCATCGTCGTCAGATGCTGGGGGACTGGCGGGGGGCGGCCTCTTCGTGGGTATCTTCTTAGCTGGCCCCTTGCCCTTGGATCCTCCTACGTTCTTTCACGGCGTTGAACTGTAAGGCAAAATTTGATAAAATGATAGTTAATAATGACATTGCGAAACAATGAGCTAAGCTGACAGTTTGCAGCTCATGCCAACCCGGGCTTCGAACTTGCAACCTTTTGATCGATAGATCTTATAATTGCTGATGATTTACCAGCTGTGCTAAACCTCCAGCCCGAATAGCCTGCCTTGGCATTAATTGATTTTGTAGCAGGGAATAACTGGCGACAACCAGAAGCAACAGTGCCAAGCCTAAGTCTTAGAGACTGTAATGTATAATGTATTGTCCTTTCACCTTGATGAAGATAAGGCGGGATTTAAATGTATGTAGAAATCCCCAATGCAAATGTATCCCTAACCTGTAATAAGTTTATTTTCTGGCAATAAATTAACCATACCCCTTAACGGTGTTTGAACTTACATGAGCCACCAGTCCCATATCAAGCAAAGGAACTCAAATGTACTTTATAATTAGTAAACCAATTTGTCTTAATAATGTTATTATTCATAGTATCGCATCTTTATCTGCGTCTGGTACCTATAAGTGATTAGCTGTGCAAATTATGCGTATGAATGTCCAACCATTAAACAAAATTTATATGTAGGTATAAGCACCTATGTATATATCAACTGAAATCATCGTGACTTAATATAGGTATCCTTTTTATTTCACCACTCCGTGGGGAGGATAAAGGGAAAACAAAATGGCTGTGCATGAACAAAATGGCCGCCTTCATGGCCTACATGAGGTTAGGCCTAAAAAGAAAATGGCAACCTCCATGATCGGCCACGAGGTTAGGCCTGAAAACAAAATGGCCGCCTCCTTGGTCGGCCATGAGGTTCAGCTTAATACAAAATGTCCTCCTGGCCTCGCTCTTTTAGGCCTTTACAAGGCCCGACAGCAATAAAACCAAATAAGGCCACAGCGTGGCTGGCTGGCTAGGCAAAGCCGGGATATCACCGGCACCCTGGCGAATCGGCGCCGCCCCCAAGGAGGCATCGGGCCGACTTAGGCGGCGCACGCGTGCTCCAGCAGGCCCGGAATCATCCGGTTGGGCGGGGAGCCATGAACGCTTGCGGTCAAAAGCAGGCCCGCGGAGGCCAGCTGGAGCCTCCCTGGCGAAAAATCCCTAGCCCTCCAGACAAAGGGAAGCCGCGGACAATGGCCCAAGCGTGGCGGGAAGAAAACCACCCCCCAAACAGCCAGCCTCGGCACCGCGCCGCTGGGCCGCTACGGCCGGCAAGTCGAGCTCCACCGCTCGGGAGACGCGTGCCGGGCCGGACAGCCGCTCACGGTGATGAGGGGAACAAGACCAACCCCCCCCCGGGCGGCCATTCCCGGCACCGCCGGGCGGCAATTCCTGGCGCCGCCGAGCGGCAATTCCCGGCGACGCCGCACGGCACCGAGAAGGGTCGCCCGCATCAGCGGCGCACAAGCGGCCGCCGTCGGCGAAGACCCTTAACGTTCAGGAAGGGAGGAGGGTGAGGAGGGGGGAGAGAAACCAGGGCAGGAATGGCGTCTCTTCTCCTCACCCCCTCCCCCCAACCCCACAGACCTCATCCCGACGTCCGTCCTCTTCGCCGTCTTCTTCAGACTGAAGGAGAGGGGGCGGCTGCCTCTTCCTTTGGCTCCGCCCCCTCTGGAAAGTAGATCYGGCCGGATCTACTTTCCAAGYCTCCTTCCTGGGAAGTGGGCAAACTTCCTTACTCTGGCCCAGCTGCGCCGGACCAGGTAAGTCCTCTTATGCAGACTAAAATCCCATTGACTTTTTTTAGCAGCTGCATGACATTGTGGGCTCATGTTTAACTTGTTGTCCATGAGGATTCCAAAATATTTTCCACATATACTTCTGTCGAGCCAGACGTCCCACATTCTGTATCTTTGCATGTCACTGTTTGAACAATCCACACTTGATGTCTTATATCAGCCAACTAGTGTTAACCAAGTGGTGGTTTCATTAACAGATGCAATTTTCCTCTTTCTTCTCTGATGCCGTCCGAAGGATATGATGACTATATTAACAGATGTTCTGCAAGTATAAAATACATCATTGGCTCCTGTGCAACTAAAGGTAACTCCAGGGTAACCTTTGATTTCATTAATTTTTCTCTTCAGTCATAGAATGATAAAAACAACTGTTTCCCACACAAGGTTCTTCTAAATCAATCTAGAATACATATAAGTATGAAAGCACTCAACTGCAGAACATAGTTCAAATGAAGAACTTTTAATATGTGGTTGTTTCTGACAATAGGCACCATCCTACTTGTTGGTCATGGCTCATCCCTGGATTCCTTCACTCGGCCATTATTGGGTCTTCCTGCCAGGGACAGCAGCAGTTTTGCACAGTTTGTCCGAAAGGTAAGGCATTATATAATATCAGAAAGAAATGAAGTTTCATCTTATTTAATGTGTAATCTTCAGACATTTAGATGTCATTGTCCCCACTCTCCATTCATAAAATCCAAAGATGCATGAGTACTCTTGGAGACATAGAAAGGCAGTTCATTCTACATCACACCATTTGTCCATCTAGCAAGTGATAGCCAAGATTTCAAGGAGAGATCATTCCCATCATCTCTTATCTAACCAGCCTCATATGAAGATGTCAGGAACTGAAACCCAGTATCTATTTCATCCAGAGCATGTGATCCATTACTAACCTTTGACCTTTCATTTACTGTTCTAAAAGGACTACAAAAGAGATGGAAAAAGTGTGGCTTCCCACATTCAAAGCGGATTTATTCAATTAGCAATCTCTTTAGTACAACTGATAAAACTTCTGAACTTGCTACATAATTATGAGATTCCACGATCCTCTTTGTACTGCTAGCATGGACCGCTTTGAGGCCAACTCTCAGGAATGGGGACTAAGCAGTGGGCAGGTACACACTACCTGAAGTAGCTTCCAATTGATCCTCCTAAAAATATGAGCAGATAAAAAAACTGAAGGATTCTCCATTCGTGGTTGATTTATTGTGATGTTTGAACTAGGATTCATGATCGTCTTATTATGATGTGCAAACAAAGAATTATAGCTTGAGTTCCTAGTTTGACCATTAGAAAAAGCAAATCATGAATTGGAGATTCTGTGACTTCTTTGACTATTCCTGCTTGCAGGAGACAAGCCCTAATATACAGAATAACTCATTGGATTGGAAATGTATTCATAGCTTTGTTTCATGAACTCATTCTTTAATCACTAGTAGCCTAGTTATTGGGACATGAGAGAAGCCTCCCACAGGATGGTAAAATATCCGGGTCTCCCTTTGGCAACGTCCTTGCAGACGGCCAGTTCTCTCACACCAGAAACAACTTGCAGTTTCTCAAGTAGCTACTGACACAACCCCGCCCCCAAAAAAACCCCCATTGTCATTGTTTCTTGTATCAGGGGCCATTTCATATTGCATCATAATTCTTTAAATGCCATGGTTCTTCCGATGGGGATCCTGGGTTTTTTCCTATTTAGGAAGGAGTGCTTAGAATTTTCAGCCAAAGAGCACTAGTGTTTCTCAAAGTTACAAATCCCATTATTCCATAGGATGCAGTCACCGCAGTTCATATTCCTGTGTGTGAAAGGGCTTCTTGTGATGAATCCCTTGCTCATTTCTAACATCTTAAGCTAAGTTAATCAAATACTTCTGAAATTTTATCTCCTTTACCAGATACCATCACTGGGAATGTGTTTCTGTGAAGAGCTTACACAGGAAAGAAAATGGCAGCTGGCTAATCCACCGGTCAAGATGCTAACCCATGGAGCCAATGTCACATTTAATTGGAAACACATCTTTCTGGACCATTAAGCAATATTTATTCACTCTCAATATGAACTTACGTTCTCCTGATTCAACATCCCTGCTCTGTTTCTTGCCTACAATTAAGTGATATAACTCAGGAACTGACTTTGATGGAGTGGAAAAGATAATCTTTGTGTGAAAATTTAAATAAACCTTAGCCAGCATTTACTTGGATAGTTAAGAATGCATCAGGCTCTGGAACTCTCTGGAACTCTCTCCCATTGGAGATTAGAACTGCCCTTTCCCTCCTGACGTTTAGAAGGTTGGTGAAGACCTGGCTTTGGAATCTGGCATTTCATGAGTGAGGCAATGGCTTTTGACCACATGGACGGATGGGGATGAATAGTGATTTTTATGCTAATGACTGTACTTTATATAATTATATGATAGTACTTTAATGTGTTTATATTAGTGTATCATTGATGTGGTGTTTTTAAAATTATTGTGTATGAACCCCGTGTTGTAAACCGGCCTGAGTCCCTCGTTGGAGGTGAGAAGAATAAGTTCTAAATAAATAAATAAATAATAAATAAATCGCCAATGTAGTTCCATAGCTGTGCAGTTACTTCCGGCCCAGTCTTCCCAGTCATCACTTCCTGGGCAGGAACTGCAGCAATTGACAGGGTATGTTCCTCTGCTGCTTGGAAAGCCGTTAAAGGACATTCCCTCTGACCCAGGTTTTCAAATCTTTTAAAAAAAACCAAGAGAGGAAAGAGATAAGTAAAGGTAAAAGGTTTCCCCTGACATTAAGTCTAGTTGTATCCAACTCTGGAGGGTGGTACTCATCTCCATTTCTAAGCTGAAGAGCCGGTGTTGTCCATAGATGCCTCCAAGGTCATGTGGCCGGCATGACTGCATGGAGCACTGTTACTTTCCCACGGAAGAAGTACCTATTGATCCACTCACATTTGCATATTTTTGAACTGCTAAGTTGGCAGAAGCTGGGCCTAATAGCAGGAGCTCACCCTGCTCCCCGGATTCAAACCTTTTGGTCAGCAAGTTCAGCAACTCAGTGGTTTAACCCACTGTGTCACTGGAGGCTCCAAGAAAAAGATACAGTTAAGAAATAATATGTGTACATTTCAGTTTTAACAATATATACTGGCTTCCACCAAATAGCTGCAGCTACTATAAGACATAACAATTGCTAAATAACTTGCAACATTCTTAGAAAAGAAGAACAATTTTATCCTCCTTCTGCAAATACTGTGTATTGTGATAAAATCAGCCACACATTTCAGTCTGCTATCTGCTCTATGTTTCCTGAGCTGGTGCTCATGTGATAAAACTATTATCATTACATTTGGCTATTGTTTTTTATTCTGTTATAACAAAGCATATATTAATGGAATAAGCATTCACACAAGAGAAACAGGGTTTCTCTTATATCACATATTGAAAAATATATATTCCTCCCTTTCTGTTTTCACTGCAAAGGATAGAAATATTGTGCTCAGTCGGCAACAGGTGCTTTGCCATGACTCAACCTATTTCAACCTAAAAGTTTTTGAAATAATGCCCCACCTCTTTCCGGGTCCTTTCTTTCAGCAAAATTGTGATTTTAAATTAGCTTCCACAGTCATATTCTAACTCTGGAAAATCCCTTCAAATCAGAATTTTCATAATGTTTTATATTTCAATTCCTGAGGTAGCCTGTGGAAAAAAGATTTATGAATGAAATCAAATACAGGAATTCTGTGTCACTGGCTATCTAGGCAACCACTTTGATCACTCAGATAAATACCCCCGCCCATCTCTATTTATGGGGTAGCAGCCATAATGATTGACCGTGATCTGTTCCCCTCCTGATCAAGAAGCAGCTAACTGATGTCCCCATCCCCTTTTATGAGTGATCTTCAATGCAACCAAAGCAAGTTTCCTGGAGGCTCTCATCAGAGGGGCAGTGGTACCAACATTAATCAGTTGCATTGGTTTTATTGTGAGCTGCTTTGAGTCTCTTTTTAGAGAGAGAAAATGGGATATAAATAATAATGACAAGAATAACAATAGACCCTTGTTACTGCCTGGTAAGTTATAATTGGCAGAGCTTCATGGTTCCTAAACTCTAGGTTATATATTCATTAGGCTTGGGTAACCACGGAAAAATTTGGTTCTAAACTCGTTTTGTTTTTAGGGGGCCCTTGCGTTTCGTTTTTTTTAATAATTCCGAAATTTTCTTTTAAAAATTTTTTTGAAATTTACGAAATTTCGTAAAATTACGAATCGATTCGTTAATGGCGGACGCGATTGCGCAATATGCTAAAAAAAAAACTCCAAATGGGACAGGAGGAACTTCTGAAGCTTCCCTCTCCCTCTGTTGTTGACTGTTGGTGTGATAAAACAAACAACAACTATAAAACTTGCACCAGACATGCGAAAATAATTACGAAAAATAATTACGAAATAATTACGAAATAAATTGAAAAAATTGTTTCGAATCTTAATTACTCCTCACACTATTCCTGCATGGCTCAATATTGGATCGTAAGCTAATTTAAATACGAATTAATAACGAATTACAAAATTAACGAACGAAACCGCCCAAGCCTAATATTCATAGCTGCCTTGATGTATACTAGTGACTTCATCCCACTGAACATGTCAAGTGTTTAGGTTTACCATACAGCTCAGACATACTGCATTTTGAAATTAAATAGATGATTTTCCTCACACCATCACCCACTAGCAAACTATCTTTTATTCAGGTTATTCCCACCCACTGTTCTTCCCCTGTTTTGTTTGTGAAAAGAAACACCTCTTCTGGACTATGATTTTTGTTCCTGGGTTATAAATGTCATTTCCTAATTGGTTCTATCATAAACACATGGGGAAAATTTATTAAACTGCAAAAACGTTGTCCTTGCAGGAGGGGCATCCTGCCATAGCACATTTTGCTCTAGCAGGATGCCCCTCCTGCACGGACAAAGTTTTTGCAGTTTAATAAATGATACAGTTACACAATTTGTGGGAGGAGCCAAAATGCCTCTTTGAGAAAGTAGTAGGTAACATAGGACCTCATCCCATGGACAGGGAGAAAGCAGGGAAAAGCAGAATGAACCATCTTACTTCGTTCCCTACCATCAAGGTCCATCTTCTGGGATGGCTAGCCATCCCACATCCTTTCCCTATCTTTCCCTGTGTTTCGTCATTTGGAGTTTGGTGCTGAAAATGCATTCTGGGCACTGTTTCCACATACTGTGGAAACCTAGTCCCATGGAGTGCCATCAGAAGAGCCCTTACATTATATGATGGTTTCTGTGGGACTCTATTTCTGAAGCGCATTGAAAATGAGCCACAATATAGGTTACGTTCATATTATGGACAACAACAAAAACGAAAGGTGAAAATTATGACTGTAATCAGTCAAGTCCATAGTTGTGAATTATAATGAAAGCTTGCAAACAGCTTGGTTGACTTAAGAATGATTGAGTCTAGGAGCAAAGCTGGTTTGGTAGCCATATTTTTACAGTTCAGATTTTTTGAAATACCAGCTTCATTGTTGGTTTTTTCAGACTATAATCATACTCTCCTGCTTTCTTGTTAAACTGTGAAAGCTGGTGTTGATTATGAGAAATATACTGATATGAGAAATGCACTATGAGAAACTCTAGTTTTTACTGACCAGCTAAAACTGAAGAAGCCAAGAGCTATGTCTCCCCGCCAGTTTTGCAACAGAGAGACTGTCCTTTTTGACACTGAAGAATACTTAAGAAACAGTGGGGGAAATGAATCCGCAAGCCTTCTAAGTGTATCCATTTCAGTCAAAAGGAAAACCAGTATCGGATTATCTGACAAAAAAAAATCTAGGAACCTAGAAAGTCTATTTTTTTTTCATTTTACCCAGATAAACACATGGCTCTTGAATATGATGTAAGTTTCATCTCTGTTTCCTGCAACAAAGGCAAAGGTGCTTCAGGGTGCATAGTTCCTGGGGGTACTAATCAATAAAAATTGTTCCTAAAGCGATTACTTCATTACCTCCTCAACAAAGTAAAAAATGCAGGAGCTGTGGTGAAATACAGAAGAGTTATAAAAGGAAGAGGACATTGGCTGGAATCACCAAAATGAACTCTACCCAAAACCTCATGCTTTAAACTGGGTATTTCATCTGCAAGGTCCTCAATGGACTTCAAAATGTTTTCATAATTATGAAATGTGAGGGTGCTTGTAGAGCAACATTAGACTGACATCTAGTGATGCAATCTAAAAATGACACTCCACCAAGCCTGCTGTTTTGAACACCAATTTGGAATAAACCCACTTAAAACATGTGCCAAGGTGGGTTTAAGTGGGTTATTTCCTTCCATTGCACTGGTATCCTGCCAATTCTATTTCTCCATGCATTTTGGCTGAGAGGAAATTGATGCTACTCCTTTCAAATAATCCAAATTTGACAAAGTTTTTAAGACCTCAAGACATGAACTGCTAAATGAGCTGTCGGAATTCAAAACACAACTTAAACCTATCTCTTCAAGCTGGCATACCCAATCAGTTTTACCTATGACTTTTAAATTACATTTTTGTTTATTGTGTTTTAACTTTTTTCTCAGGCATTTTAATATGTTTATGTTTTAATATATGCTTTTACAGTTGCATGTTAACTATGTTTTAATATGTGATTTTATAGATGTATCTGACTATGTTGACCCCCAAGAAGTGAATAATAAATATAAAATTATCATCATCATCATCTAAATATGAAATTCATTTTTATGGATTTTTTTTTAAAGCGGGTACTCTTATACTCTTCAAAACAAATGGAAATGTGGTGAGAACTTGATAATCAGTAATACATATACAATAAGACTTGTAGTTATATACAAAAAAAACCTTTATTGAAAATAACTTGACAGAAATTTCAGTTTTAAAAGAAGACCAACATAGAGGGAGAAGGGATAAGACAGGGAAGGAGTGAATGATGATAGGGTAGGGCCAAGTTTCAACATTTGCCTCTAATAATGAGACTAAGGCTGTCCCTTGAAATATTTTAAAAAAACTGGAACCAGTAATAGGAAGGAGAGAGGGGGAAAGTATGGGGATTACTCCATGAAAACAAAGCACTTTTATATCCCTTGGGTTATAAGATTGTGTCTTGTGACTTTGTAAGTAATTGTTGACTTTTCTTTCCATTACTCTCGAGGTTCAGCTTCCTTGGTTTCTTCTTCCTTTTCTTCCGCAATAACTGTTAATTAAAATCAAATAGAAGTATTTACTTTGATTTGTTGTTTTTTTAATATTTTGATTTTCTGTCTCAGAAAGCAAATAACAAGCAAGCACCGCAGAAAGAATGACAACATTCCCATTGCCTTATGATTCCAGTCAATTTTAACTTATCTGTACATTTTAAGCTGCA